AATTGTGTGTTTAGAAATAAGTCCATAGGAATGTATGCACTTTACAGTTACAAAATTCCTCCTCCTGCTCTTACTCCCATTCCTATTTTTTACTGAGATCAATTTTCAATTGACTTTATGTTCATACTATGGACTGAATGTTAAGACTTCAACAAATAGTAGGAAGAAAGATAAACAAACAAACAAAAAATGCAAAGAAAAAACTGTCCCTCACCAGTCAAGACAAGGGCAGCTCAAGTCGTCCATTCTCAAAGTGTCAATTTCACTTCCCTAGATTTCCTTTTGGGTGCTCTATCAGTTCTCACCTATCAGGAAGAACATGTGGTATTTGTCCCCGGGGTACTTGCCTTTTTCATAAAGTATGATCTTTTCCAGATTCATACATTGTGTTGCAAATAACCAGATCTTATTGTTTTTACCACTGTGCAGTATTCCATAGTGTACACATCCCATAATTTCTTTATTCAGTCTTTGGTTGATGGGCATTTAGGTTGAATCCATGTCTTAGCTATTGTGAATTGAGGTGCAATGAACATGGAGGTACAGGTATCTCTTGTGTGTAGTGAATTCATTTCCCTTGGGTAAGTTCCTAGGAGTGGGATTCCAGGGTCATATAAGATAGGACTATATTCAGATTTTTGAGATATCTCCATAGTGTCTTCCATAGTGGCTTTACCAGTTTGCATTCCCACCAACAGTGGATTCAGGCACCTTTCCCCACATCCTCGCCAGCATTTGATGTTTGTTGATTTCCATATGAAGCCATTCTAGCTGGGGTGATGTGAAACCTCCTTGTGGTTTGATTTGCATTTCTCAGACAGCTAGTGAAGCTGAACATTTTTTCATGTGTCTGTGTTGGCCATTTGGACTTCCTCTTTTGAAAAATGTGTAAGTCCTTGGCCCATCTCTTAACTGGGTTGTTTGTTTTGTTTTTGGAATTTCTTCATCTCTTTGTAAATTCTGGTTATTAATCCATATCTGTTGCATAGCTTGCAAATAATTTCGCACATTCTGTCAGATGCCTCTTCACTTGCCTGAGTGTTTCTTTTACCACACAGAGACTTCCCAATTTGATCTAATCCCATTTATTAATTTTGGCTTTGACTTCCTATGTCTCTGAGGTCTTTTCCAAGAACTCTTTACCTGTGCCAGTGTCTTGAGGGTTTCCCTAATGTTCTCTAATAATTGGGTGGCGTGGGATCGTAGGTTTTTGTCTTTAATCCTTGTTGAGTGGATTTTTGTGTGAGGTGTAAGATAGGGGTCTTGCTTCCTACTTCTGTAATACATAATAATTTAAAAAGTGAAAAGGAATCTGAAGATTACCTGCACATTTTAATGACATAGTTGTGGTATGAAGAAATGATCTTGTTAAAATAGCCAAGCTACCATGTGATTCACAGATTCAATGCATTTCCTGTCAAACACCCTGTATTCTTCACAGGAAGAGGAAGTTCTGGAATTCACATGGAAAAATCAGGGTAATGATGACTGAACAGTGTTGAGCAAAATTGCAAAGCAGGAGGCTTCATCCTAGCTGAGCTGAAACCAAGCCTGGTGCTGGGATAACATAGACACCCACAGCCGTGGAGCACAACAGAAGCCTAGAAATAAAGGACACATTCTCAGAAAACTGATTGCATGCATGGTGCCACAGAGAGTGGGTGATGGGTATTCTGTCATAACATGGGGTTGGGGAAGCTTGAATGCACTTGAAAATAATTCAATTATGTGGTCATCTCACACCAGATACAGAAACAGAGTGAGCTTGAAAAATACCTAAAAAACAAGACCTGAGACTATAAAGTTCTAGAAGAAAACACTGGACAAAAGCAAGCTGACATTGGTTTGGGCAATGATATTTTGATAATCTCCACTGTACAGGCAACAAGCAAAAATAGGCAAAAGATAATGGATCCAACTACAGAGCTCCTGTGTAACAAAGAGAGTGATTGAAGAACCAGGAGTCACCTGCAGTTGGGCAGAAAGTATTTTCCGATCACACCCATGGGGGCCAATGTTGTGGCCCTGCAGGTTAAGCTGCCATCCCTACTATGCATGCATCACACAGGAGCATGGGTTCAGATTCTGCTTGCTCCACTTCAAATCCAGCTCCCTACTAATGGACCTGGGTCAATGATGACCCAAGTGTTTGTCCCCTTCAAGCCATGTTGGGAAACCTAGATAATGTTCCTGGGTCCTGGCTTCAGCCTCAGCCATTTCCAGCCTTTGCAGCCATTCAGGAAGGAAACCAGTGGATGGAAGATTCTCTCTTCATCTCTTTGGGTGTTCCTCTCTTGCTATAAACTGCCTTTGAAATAAAAGATATTTGAAGTAAATGACAGATAATTATACATATGCTTAGGAGCCTAGATTCAAATGTTGAATGACATCTTACAACTGAATCACAAGGGAAGAAATCAATCGTTTAAAATGTAGTGACTGATGGGCCAGCGATGCAGCTCACTAGGCTAATCCTCCACCTGCGGTTCCAGCACTCCGGGTTCTAGACCCGGTCGGAGTGTCAGATTCTGTCCCGGTTGCTCCTCTTCCAGTCCAGCTCTCTGCTGTAGCCCGGGAAGACAGTGTAGGATGGCCCAAGTGCTTGGGCCCTGCACCTGCATGAGAGACTGGGAGGAGGCACCTGGCTGCTGGCTTCAGATCGGCAGAGTACACCCGCTGTAGCAGCCATTTGGGGTGTGAACCAATGGAGGGAAGACCTTTCTCTCTGTCTCTCTCTCTCTCACTGTCTAACTCTGCCTGTCTAAAAAAATGTAGTTACTGATAAGGTGGGTGACAGGACTGGCCTTGAAGGTATCACGTGGGATTCTTGCCTCCTGTTTCAGGATGCTTAGGTTATGTCCAAATTTTGGGTCTATTTCAGACTCTTGCCAATGCACACTCTGGGAGGCAGTACGAGAAGTCTGAGTTAATCCCATGTGTGAGACCTGGACTGAATTCATGCACCTGGCTGTGATCTGACTGAATCCAGCTTTTATGGGCATCTGGGAAGTTACCCAGGATTCAGTAGATCACTGTCTGTCACTCTCTGTCGCTTTGTCTTTTTGGACAAATAAACAAATACAAGTTTTAAAAGAGGTAAAAGTATATCTGTAACTTTTTGAAGAAAATATACAAAGGCAAACATATAAAAATGCTTTAAATCTGAGATCATCATGCATGTCCATGTTAGAAGCACAACGTGACAGCCCACTCCTCCTGATAGACTGAGTATCATCAGACATACCAGAGCTGACAAGTCTTGTGCAGGAAGAGAGAGAAGAAAACCCTGGTACAAGGCTGGAGTCAGATAACTTAGTAAATCTTTCATGGAAAACATCAAAAGCTGAGAAATACAATTATCACAGGATCCTCAAACACTGTTTCCTGGTAGAAGAAATATGAAATCCCAGGGAGGTGCCCAGGGGATCCACAGCCACTGTGGCAAACACCTCTGCAGTTCCATGTACAATTAATGCAGCATAATTCACGAGAGCTCACACATATAAGCCACTGAAATTTGCATTGAAGAAGGAATGGATAATGGGAAAAGTGGACAGAGTTATATTTTAACAGGAAGTTTATATGGCAGTAAAGAGTAGCAAGGACAGAGCTTCAGGCCGGCAGGATCCACACGTTGAGGGATCTGCTGTACAGCATGGTGACAGCAGTTAAGGGAATATTGTATCTACAGAATTCCAAAACAGGAGACAGATGCCATTCCACATGAGACATGTGCGTTTTGCGATGAGCATGTCAATAACTCTGACTTCATAATTCCACTCAATTTGATACATTCATTTTTCAACACATACCATTGTACCTCATATGTCTATATTCACTTAATATTCATCAAACAGTCATGACAGGAAAGGGAAGAATGGCAAATAGTGAAAATTCATTTCTCTAAAACTGAATCACCATCTGCTGTCTTCCAGTGTGCATTGTCAGTTACAAGTATGGGAAATTCTTGTAAATAAACTCAGTCCAGCACTCTGATATGCAGCCTGGGTGTCTCCCTCTCTAAAACTGATGGAAGTCTCCAAATGGATTGATGACCCCAGTCAGCATAGACATGGAGTAAAGTGCAGGGACTCTGGACAAATGGTCTCTGGGACTGGCTCTTCCTGCAGCTGTGATTCAGCCTCAGGACACTGGTCATCATGCTGGAGCCACAGACACAGCTCCCCGTGATGTGGACTCCAGCCCCAGAGTGCACAGCCACTGTGTGTCCCACTTTCAGCTCTGCTGAACCACAGCAGGTGTAGGGGGTCCCACAACACTGGAGCAAAACTAGATCAGCTGGAAGTGCACACCCAACACTTTCCATTCAGTTATGACCTTGACTGCTGATGTCCAGTGCATTTTCCTCCTGAGTTCAGGCAGGGAACCCCCCAGGAGGGTCCCAGTACCTAGAGGATGAGGAAGTCCCTGTAGGCTTCCCAGGTGCCTGCAGAAGCTCAGCCTGAGACACAGCTGAGCTGCAAGTACATTCCTGAGTGCTGTGATGTTCACACAGGAACAAGTAAATGTTTTAGGAATAAAAAGAAAATGGCGATGTGGGCACAATCTGTAGAAATATGCATCACCCACAGATTAAAAAAAAATGTAGGTTCAGTGCGGTACACATGCTCATTTTGATGGGAGGAGAGGGATGACTTAGGTAGTTGAGGTTTACCAGAACAGAAACCCTAGCTCTACTGTCCCTGGTTCTAAAGGGAAAACTAAAATTGTCCTAAAATCAGCACTGCCCTAGGGCGCTGTCCTGAGTCAGGTTGGAAAAGAATCACCAGGGTCCTCAGAGATTCCCAGGATCTCTGATCCTGGTGACTGCTGTCCTTGTTTATGAACTGAATTTGTTCATTAAGGACTCCTTCGTTTCACATCAAACTTTATCACCGTCACTGAAGTCATCAGCAGGGTCAGAACAACAAGAGTAGAATTAATTCCTCAAAACGGCTACCGGAGTGGAAACCCCAATTCCCTGACAGGAAACCAGGGCTTCATCTCTTCCTGCACCTGCTCAAGACCAGAATGTGCTCTCGGTACGTCTTCTGCGCCCCTTGGTGGAGCCGCGCGCCCCTGCAGGGAGGTTTGAGTCTGGGCTCAGCCCTAGGGCCCCTCACTGTGTCTCTCGCACAGTAATACATGGCCATGTCCGCGGCTGTCAGACTGTTCAGTTGTAGGCAACCTGTGCTCTGGTCGATGTCTCTGGAGAGAGTGAATCGGCCATTCACCCAGCTCGCGTAGTATGTGCTACCACTACTACCAGCATAAATGCATCCGATCCACTCCAGCCCCTTCCCTGGAGCCTGGCGGACCCAGCACATGTAGTAGCTACTGAAGGTGAATCCAGAGGCTTTGCAGCAGAGTTTCAGGGATCCCCTAGGCTGGACCAGGCCTCCTCCGGAGTGCTCCAGCTGCTGACACTGGACACCTGCAAACACAGACGTCCTGGTCAGCACACTGTCACGCACTCTCTGTGTCTCTCACTCATGTCCTCTCCCAGACTCAGTTTCCCGCGTTCTCCATCATTACCTTTGAGCACAGTGACCAGGAGAAACCAGTGCAGCCCAGTCTCCATGGTGAGCGTCTGTGTTGAGTGCGCTCACTGAGTGGACACCTGGGAGTGCTGGGGCTGGAGCTCCTGTGCCAGAGCTGCAGGGTGAGGGCTGGGCTGGTTTTCATGGGCAGAGGGAGGCCCTATTTGCATGTCTGCTCCTATATAGCCAGCCCTGGAGTAGACGTCTCAGACAGGACAGGGCCCAGGGCAGATGTACATGTCCTGGGGGGTGTAGGCTATGATAGGATTCAGATCGTATGAATTTTTATGTTTTATTGCTTTTTTTATAACAGTTGAAGCAATGACCTTGTTTCCTTTTAATATGTGTGTACCCTTAATATCCAGTGTAAGCAATATCATGTCCTTCATTTTTTAAATAACAATTGTTTCATATCATCTATTGACCTCTATATCATCTTTATGAAAGACATTGGAATAGTGATAGAGAGAAGGGGTGAGAGAAACACAAGTGTAGTCATGGACAGCAAAGATGAAAATGGGAGATTTCTGTCTTTGGATTGACAGCCGCAAACTCCCCAAATGCCTACAACATCTAGGAGTTAGCCTTTCTAAAACCTGGATCCCAGAACTGCGTCTGTGTTTCCTTTGTCGGTTGTAGGGGCTCTATCGCTATAGCGTCATCTGTAGTTTACCACGATGTGTTATCAGGAAAAAGTGTGGGAAGCCGTGTGGCTGGGCTCAAGCAGCACTCTGATGGGAACACGAGTGTCCCTAGTGGGGACTTTGCCAATTTTGTCCTAATGCCTGCCGCCCATATTTACATAGATGAAAGACTGCAAGTGGATTCATTTAAGGATACTATGTCTTGTTTCCTTATTCATCCATTACCTTATTTTAAAACTGTTCATTAACTCAGAACACTGTGCATGTTAGTGGGGTGTAGTGTGCTATTGGAATCTGTGTGTTGCAGAAATGGGCACAGATCAACTCACTGTCATTCACATTTCTACCTCCGTTCCATCACTTTGTGTTGGGAGACCGGGTGTCCTCAGTACTGCTTATTTGTGGAACATGTCTTGGGTTGTAGTGAACTGAGTCATCCCACTGTGGTGGGGGGGCAAAATTATTCCTTGCTTTGAGTGGTGCTTTGTGTCCTGGTAGCAGCCGTCTGCTGTTCCCTCTCTTCCCTGTGTCTAGTAATCATGACTCTGAGTTCAGCTCAAGCACTGGGTATGAAGTCACTGTGTCACAATTCACCCACAGTCCTGGGTTCAGGTAATGCAGCTGTGTTCACAATAGTTCAGTCTACAATAAAGCCAAATGTGCATAAAATGGTGAATGCAGTCTGTTACATTTGACATGGAATATTACTCAGTGTGAAGAAGGAGGTTGCTCTGTCATTAGGAAATCATGGGTCAGCCTTGAGCATAATATGCTAACAGAAATAATGCAGGTACATGTGGACACATAGTATTTGACATTAGTTATATATGCAGTCCACAAGCTTGAACTCACAGAGGTAGGGAGTGCAATGGAGATCACTGTCTACCATGACCCAAGTGTTTGTCCCCTTCCAGCCCTGTGGGAAACTCGGGGAAGTTCCAGGCTCCTGGCTTCAGGCTCAGCCATCCCCAGCCTTTGCAGCCATTCAGGAAGGAAACCTGTGGAAGGAAGCTTCTCTCTCCATCTGTTGGTCTCTTCCTCTCTTGCTATAACACTGCCTTTTAAACTAAATAAATAGGCGGAGCCAAGATGGCGGAATAGTGAGGGCGCGCACCGATAGTCCGGGAAAATTTAGTTTAATAAAAGGGGAGTTACGGTAGCCGCAGAAAAAAGAACCAGGAAAAAATTGCACGGGAATCGTGAATCGGAGGACCTACTGGGAGAACAAGGTCGCCCACCGCGCGGAAGCCAAGTCGCGGGACGGAGCCGCAGAAGCCCCAGTGCTCCAAGGGGAGTGCATGCCACACAGACAACAGCGGGGAGACTTGGGACGCTCAGGGCTCCGAGTCCACACATCGGCGCTGGAAGGGGAGGTGAGCTCAATAACCCGAGACATTGGTGGGGAAACGGGGGTCAGAATCTAGAGGGGGGCCGGAAAGTGCAGCAAACTCACTACCGGAAAGAAGGAAAAAAAAAAGCTTCGGGTTTCTCTTCCCCCTAACCTTGCAAAGGTTACAAGGCTGCAAGGCTAGAATTCCCAAGAGACAAAGAGCAGGCCTGCGCTCTGGATTTACATATCAATGGGGGAGAGCTAAGGAACTGAGTCACTACAATTCAGTAGCCTAGGCAACCCAGTGGGAGTCCAGAGAAGCCAAAGACTGGAAGCTAAATACCATCAATTCTGCACAGCCCTGCCCTGCAGTGTTACTTACCCCCTGAATAAATAAAATAAATAAATAAATAAAAAGAGAGAGATTTACCACGCATAACCTGAGGGTGTCACCTTTGCACACCCTTAACTTGGAAGAATCAGGCAGAGCTCTCAGGCTGCACCCATCTCAAGCCTCCAAGGCTCCTCCAACAGCAGGCAGTCCACTTAACACGGACACAGTATAAATAAAAAAAAAAAAAAAAAGAAAGAAAAAAAAAAACGCACAGTGACGCAAGAAGAATTAACTATGCCAAGTAACAAACACAGAAATAGAGGGAGCAAGATCAACGATGACACTATGATGCCTCCAAATAAGCAAAACACCCCAAGCCAAGAGTATGAAGATGATGAGATAGAAGAAATGCAAGATACGGATTTCAAAAAATTTATGATAAGAACATTTAGAAGTTTTCAAAAGCAAATCCTTGAACTACAGAAATCCTTAATGGACAAGATTGAAAATCTCTCTCGTGAAAACGAAATTTTAAGGAAGAGTCAAAATGAAACTCAGAAACTAGTAGAACAGGAAAGTGTTATAGTGAAGAGAAATCAAAATGAAATGAAGAGCTCAATAGATCAAATGACAAACACATTAGAAAGCCTTAAAAACAGAATGGGTGAAGCAGAAGAGAGAATATCGGACTTAGAAGATAGAGCACAGGAAAACATACATTCAAACCAAAGAAAAGAAGAGGAAATTAGAAACCTAAAAAATATTGTTGGGAATCTACAGGATACTATCAAAAAAGCCAACATTTGAGTTCTAGGAGTTCCTGAAGGCATGGAGAGAGAGAAAGGATTGGAAGGCCTTTTTAGTGAGATACTAGCAGAGAACTTTCCAGGTTTGGAGAAGGA